TTGAAAATCAATCAAACTTACCATAGTAATAGACTAAAAAAGAAAAACTATATGATCATCTCAATAGATGCAGGCTGAGGAGAGTGGAAGAGACTAAATCATGGAGTACCTTACGAGTCTTAACAAGCTTATACTGTATTCTAAAGACTACAGATTCCCCACCAAGGGATATATTAAGAGGAAGATGTTAAAAAGACTTAACTCAATCTAGTTAGCCAATCAATAACCGACATTTGTAAATGGTAGAGAAAATGTTTACGGGATGCTGTGCCAGAGGGCAGCAAACAGAAACCAGGCATCTGAGATGGGGAAAATGAAGAGAGACTTCTAAAAAGAGGACTGAAGAGGAGCCGAAAACAAACAGCAGACGTTTCCTAATCCTCATGACTGTCTCTCGCCACCGCCACTGCACCAATGTCTGGGAAATGCATATTAGTGATCATACTTTGCATGGGCAAGAAAGAACAGTCCAGGTTCCAAGGTGACCTCCCTCATTCAAAATAAGAATTACAACCAACAATCAAGTCAGTGTGCTCTTAGGCCTTTAAGACTTCATTTCCTTTTGGTACTTTCCAAACTATTTGATGTTCGTGAAACCATCTACTGTAATAAGAAGAAATCAATAAACCTGAAATCTATTTTCAGATTGTAGATAAAATTTTTATAATGTATTACTATCTATCTGGCTATAAATATATGCCACAAATTTCATCACTTCAACTGCTTAATGTGTGAATATACCAGATATTAACTTTCTCATACTGAATAATAACAGCTAACATTTATTAAATACCTTTTTTTGTGCCAGGAACTGGCCTAAGTACTTTGAGAATATTGTCTCACTTAATTCTTATAACAATTTCATAAGATGGGTTCTACTACTATTCCCACTTTACGGATCATGAAATAAGACACAGAGAGGTTCAGTAATTTGCACAAGGCCATACAGCTAATAAATGACAGAGACAGGCTTCAAAACCGGAAATCTGCTAACATGCCAAACTCCTAACAACAATGCTATAAAATGAAACAAGTGACAGATGTTCCAAAGCTTTATCAATTCTCAAAAGACTACTGGATGACTTTAAACAACCTTGAATAAGACATGAAAGAACTGCTCTACTTCCCTGGGATTTAACGTTCCATACAATAAATAAATTATATGCTATAAGTGATCCTCCTGTCTTAGCCTCCCAATGTGCTGGGATTACAAGCATGAGTCACCATGTCCTGCCAGGGAGATTCATTTAGAAGAAAATTTGGGAAGATAGGAGCCCTGAAATGTGTCTAGTAAATAGTTAGCAGAGGGCACTATGGTATCTAATATGATACAACTATCAAAATATGGCAGTATCACTCTTTTATATTCAATTATGTCTCAAACACAATACAAATAAACTAAAAAGCTATTATTTCTGGATAAAAGATTTTAAATTCTTCAATAATCAAAGTGACTTTAGACTGTACTCCAGAGTTCATTAACTACAGATTCTAAGAAACAAAAAATAGCAGAAAGAAAAATCAAAGATATTTCAAGAATTCAGTAATAAATCAGAATATTAGGAGGACAAATCAAACTAAGTCTTAACTCAAAGTTCAAAAGCTTAGATGACTTTTCATATGCTTTACTTATTATTTACTACTTATGCTACATGCTATAAGCAGAATAATCTTAGATATGTTTCTTGATTCTGCCATGTCACCTTCCTTGAACTTGTTTATCTGGGCACATAAACATATTATTTTTCTTTACTATACATATTCTTTTTAAAATCTCTAGAACCACTACTGGACATAGTAATTACTCACTCAGTAACAGGAAAAACGCAAATTACTGTGTAATATTAACATTTATTTTCACATTCAACCTTATATTCTACCAATGCAGAAGCTATGAAGGTGTATGTATACATACCATTTACACTCTATTCTATCTTACTGCTCTGCAGTTCTTTATACACAAGCTGACTTTGGCTCTCTTCAATTTACATACAAATATTAAAAATCTCCTTTTGCCCATTTTCTGGATATACTCAATGGTAACAGAGCTATTATAACCATTTTTATAGGGCAACTTTCCTGAGCAAGAATCATACCATAATCCTAATAAAGGTCAAATGCAACAGTGCCTCTCCAGGGAAGTTCTTCCACGCAGCAATGAGTCATTTTTCTTTAGGAATGAAAGTTTCACTCTGTTGAGTGAATGTCTGCTCATATGCAGACATCTCTCACTACAAGTCAGTAAACTATGCCATAATCTTCTCTTTCCTCATTTTGAAATCTACAAACCCATACATATATATGATTACAGTGCCTGATATGGAGCTCTGCTGATAGAAAAGCACTCACATGTTTATGATTTATCACACACCTGTACTGGGAAGAAAAACCTTCTTTATTAGTGAATTTCACCATGTTCATAGTAATCTCCTAGTTTCTTGTTTAACATATACAATGAATTTACACATGTATAAAATAACATAAATTAAAAGTTACCTATGACAGCATCACTTGCAATAATAGCACAATACTGGAAAATGTTCAAATACCCTTCAGTAGGGAACTATTTTAGTAAGTTGTGGTACATCCATACAGTGGAATACTATGCAGCACTTCAAAAAATGAAGAGGGGTTTTTTTAACTGCAACAATATCTAAGATATTTTTAGGCAAAAAAAAAATCAAGGTGCAAGATAGCAACTACAGTATACTACCACTTGTATAAAACAAGGGTAACATTTTATTTATATATAATACACTATGTGTATACCACATATGTACATTTTTGTACATGTAATTTACACACACACACACACACACATCTCTGAAAGCATACTCAATTGTTACTTGGCTCCAGGGAAATGAAATGGATATCAAGGCCACAGAGACAAAAGGAAGACTATTTTACTATATACTCTTCTTTTTTAAAAGTATATACCAGTCCAACTATTATCTATCTAAAAACTAATTAAATTTTAAAAGAATATATAGGGATATAGGGTAATAATTATATGCAGAGGCTCTGTTGGATAAGAAAATCTGGGTTTAAGTCTCCATTCTTCCATTGACCAGTGTGCAAGTTAGGCAAGTTCTCCAAGCCCCAGTTTCCTCATCTGTAAAATGGAAGTAATGATAGTCACTGTGAGAACTAAAACCAATCAAGTACATAAAACATTTAGCATAGTACCTGGCAATTATTATTATTTAGTGTTATCTTTTAAATGGTACTGCAGACTTGGAAATCACCAAGTTATAGTCATTACCATTTCCTTTTTCTCTTTTATCTTATTCTCAATGAAAAAATTTTGCTAGTTCTTTTAAAATGTGTGGCACTCAATCATTTCTGTCCATTTTATAACCACTAGAGATTGGCCCAGATCCTGAAGAATCAGTTAGAGTATGGATTTTGAGAGCAATTAGGAACCATCGTACAATTGGTATAGGTTTTTGATTAAATCTAAACCTTTCAGTGGAGCCCTTATTGCCACTATATATAGGCATATCTACAGAATCTCTACTACACTAAATACCAAATGAAATGCTACCCATTTATACTTGTATCCCTATTTTAACATTTATAAGGTATTTTCAAATACTTTAGTTCAATTCCTAGAATAAGAATCTCAGAAATGGAAGATCCTTTAAAATACAATGTAATTTCTTCAACAATGATGAGGGGATCAGAGCATATATTTTTTATCTCTCTGTAGATGAATATTTTTAATTTAAGAGCAACCTGTTAAATATGAATTTAAATTATACTAAATAATGAAATAAATAAATGAAATGAAAGCCAAAGAAGAGAAGTGACTTGCCAAAGATTCACATGCTTTACAAGAAAAAAAAAAAAAAGTTGCCTAGAATTCACATGTTCTCATTTTACTGCTCATTTCATTCACATTCTGACAAGGAAGTCATCAAGTATGCTATTTTCCCTCACCTAAAAGGCTCTTACTTATATAACCTAAAGCCCCGTTTACATCTAATAATCTGATTTTTAAAATGGGCAAAAGATTTGAATAGACACTTCTCAAAAGAAGACATACAAATGGCAAATGGGTACATAAAAAGGTGTTCAACATCACTGATCATCAGAGAAATGAAAATCAAACGACAATGAGACATCATCTCACCCCGGTTTAAAAGGCTTTTAAAAGACAGGAAATAACAAATGCTAGAGGAGATGTGGAGAAAAGGGAACCCTCGTACACTGTTGTTGGGATGTAAATTAGTACAACCACTATGGAGAACACTTTGGAGGTTCCTCAAAAAACTGAAAATAGAGCTACCATGTGATCCAGCAATTCCACTGCGGGGTATATACACAAAAGAAAGGAAATCAGTATATGGAAGAAATATTTGCAATCCCATGTTTGCCGCAGTACTATTCACAATAGACAAGATTTGAGGGCAACCTAAGTGTCCATCAATAGATGAATGGATAAAGAAAATGTGGTACATATACACAATGGAGTACTATTCAGCCATAAAAAAAGAATGAGATCCAGTCATCTGCAACAACATGGATGGAACTGGAGGTCATTATGTTAAATGAAATGAGCCGGGCACAGAAAGAAAAACATCAAATGTTCTCACTATTCGTGGGATCTAAAAATCAAAACAATTAAATTGATTTTTAGATGGTTTTAGAAAGGATGGTTACTAGAGGCTGGGAGGAGAATGGAGTAGGGAGAAGGGGGAGGGGGATTGGTAATGGGTATGAAGAAATAGAACGAATGAATAAGACCTAGTATTTGATAGCACAACAGGGTGACTATAGTCAAAATAATTTAATTGTACATTTTTAAATAACTTAAGGAGTATAACTGGATTATTTGTAACACAAAGGATAACTGCTTAAGGGCACAGATACCCCATTTTCCATGATGTGATTATTATGTATTGCACGCCTGTATCAAAGTATCTCATGTATCCTATAAATATATATACCTACTATGTACCCACAGAAACTAAAAATTGTAAATTATAAAAAAAGAAAACCTTGTTCACAGAACCTATCTTGGATCTGGTAGCCATAAGTCTCTCCCCTCTGAATTCCAGCTACTACCATAGCAAACAACTTAGCACTTCATCATGGGTTATCTGCAGTCTTCGTGTTGGTATTGTCTCCCCAGCTGTAGGCAATCTGGAAGCAAGTTGGTCTGGTAAAAAAAAAAAAAAGACATTATAATCACCACCATCTACCCTATCTCCTCCTCAGCCTATTATCCCAGACATTTCCCTCCATTTGGAAGCTCAGACTTCTCAGCCAAGCAAAGGTATCTGCTGCTTCATTCATTCCCTCCCTCTAAATTCCTCCTGGGATGCCTTTTCCTTCCTCCTCACCAACTCACATTCCTCACCTTGAGCCAAATCTTAACCCAATCCCCCTCACACAGAAAGCCTTAACTCAGCCCATTTTCTTAGAAACCTTTCTGCAACCAATATACACAGTGTTGTACAATTTTCCTATTCACACCTCATAATATTTCTGCATATATGCTTGGAAATGTATATTTCTGCATATGAGATAATTTATCAGCCTGGGCAACATAGTGAGACCCCCACATGTACAAAAAAAATAGCCAGGCATGTTGGTGCATGCCTGTGGTCCTAGTTACTCAGGAGGCTGAAGCAGGAGGATCACTTGAGTCTGGAAGGCCGAGGCTACTGTAAGCCATGATCCCACCACTGCACTCCAGCCTGGGTAAGAGAGTCACCAGGGAATTTTTCCAGCATGATGACTTTCGGTTTCACAATACCAAATCAAAGAACCTGCACTGAGCTAAGACTTATCCCAGAAAAGACTTAGAAAAAGACACCAAACACTTAAAGAGGGAGTCTTCTAAGTGTTTGGAATAAAGTCTGTCCTGAAAGAGAACTCTCTGTCCATGAAGGATGGGTCCATTTCAAAGAGAAGATATGTAACTTCCCCTATTTGATTAATTTATTGGCATGATAACTTGCATCAGTTTAAAGGCATTTCATCCACAATGAGGAAAAGCTAAATGCACTAAATCTTCTTTCAAGGAACCTGTATTTTTTGAACTCCTAGCAGTTTGCACTTAATGCTTTATTTTAAAGTCAGATTTAATCATTTCATATAACCAGTACTTCTTCAGGAAGATGGATTTCATTTTACCTCTACATCTATTACCCCAGGTCAGAATTGGAATGAATTGTAATGCCATTTGAAACCACTAACACAGCACTCAACAATCCAATTAGTAAGTGAGTCTGAAAACACAATTTTCCAAAATGATTACAGTGCTCCCACTTCCTATTCTTAAATATCTAAGACACTAATTGAATGTCCATACTATTTTATTTATAGGTCTTTCTCAAATACTCTCACAATAAAACCACCAATTTTAATTCCTACTTCCATAAAAGCTCTTTGTTGGCTCTATTTTGAGGACTTAACAGAGCTATATTTTTTTAAAAATCAATTTGATAAACAAAAAAAAACATTTTCTTATGATACTCAGAGATCTCTACAGCATACAGCTTGATATTTTTTAACAACGGGAACTAAGAACAAAACTAAAAAGTGTAATTCTCAATTATACAAAACAAATAGGTGTTGTATTAGTCTGTTTTCATGCGGCTATAAAGAACTGCCCAAGCCTGGGTAATTTATAAAGGAAAGGGATTTAATTGACTCACAGTTCAGCATGGCTTGGGAGGCCTCAGGAAACTTACAATCATGGCAGAAGGCGAAGGGAAAGAAAGGCACTTTCTTCACAAGGTGGCAGGAAGAGGGGAAGAGCCGATTATAAAACCATCAGATCTCATGAGAATTCACTCAGTATCACAAGAACTGCATCAGGGAAACCGTCACCATGATTCAATTACCTCCACCTGGTCTCTCCCTTGACATGTGGGGATTATGGGGATTATGGAAATTACAATTCAAGATGAGATTTGGGTGGAGACACAAAGCCTAATCATATCAAATATGTATGTTTATAAGTATATATGTACATGGTATATATCCTCTTAATTATCTTTTAAAATTTTTATGTCAGACAGTTTTTATCCACATCACAGCCTTCTGGGCTACAGTATGTTCAGAAACATAAAACCAATGATATAAGTCACCAAAGCAAACCCTACAGTGGAGAAGTGGCCACAACGTAGCATCAGTAGTGGAGAAGCAACCACAGAATCTAGAAATTACAAACAGTATATGAGGACATCTGGCACAGCATGAAATTTCTTTCACAGAAGATCTGATGGATGCTGACATGGACACTGTTTAAAGTTTTCCAATGACAGGGAACCCACTCCTTAATTTCCTCAAGAAGCTCATTTCATTGGACACCACCAGAATGTTTTTCCTCAAAATGAGCCAAAATTATCTCCTTATAAAACTTCTTACAGATCATACGTAATTACGTCATTCTTACAGATATGCCTAGTCCTTCTTTAACAGGTTTCTGCCTTTCAGGTATGAAGAAAATGATCATGTGTCCCCTTGGTCATACGCCCTAGAGGTTGCCTTTTCTACAATCCCAACACCCTCACCTGTTCTTCACATCATTTAAAAGTCTTCACTATCCCAGTCCCCTCACCTTCTGGGTGAAATCCAATTTGCCAATATTTCCACTAAAAAATGGCATCTAGTACTAAAAGCAAAATTCCACAAATTATTGACATTACTCATGAGAAAGCAGATATTTAGGAAAGGATCAAACTCAAGAACCCTCTGCTTCATAGGCAGCAAGTCTTGACATGTACTATGGAAATGACTAGATGAACGGAAAGTATAAATCAATACTATCCAAAGACAATGATAAGAAAGATGGGGGGAAGGTAGTAAAAAATAGTATCATCAAGCCATTCATTCTGAAAGAAGTTAACCCACTATATGCTAGTCCATAGCCTAAATTATCCGAGATAATGATAATGTGGGTGTAATATGACCAAAACTTTCTAAATTTACAATAAGCATAGTTATATAGAGAATAATCACATCCTCTGAAATAAGTTACTTCTAATCTCATCTAAAGAATCAAATCAAATAAAAAAACACTAGATGTAATTAAGACTGTTGAGTTTCTCTGGAGATTATAGCAATCAGACATTTTAAGTATTCTAGGAATGAAACATTTGAGACAATTAAGGAAATCCTATTGAAGAAAAATTAGTCTGTAAAGCAGAGATAATATGGGACTAAGAAATGGCTTATTAATAACATTCAATTCTGAGTATAATGAATACAGCTATTACAATTTCAATTCACTGGTGGCTGAGCTCAAAAAGCTAAAATGCTGCCACTCAATCTGCCTCAAGGATCCAGATCTAATCAGTACAGTCACTGCCTGTTACATTTATTGAATCGCAGAATGATTTTAGGCTGAAAAGAATTTAGATGAAAAAAAAAGAGAGAAAACAAAGCTAGTAAATGGTAGGGCCTGAACTCAAGACCAAAATCTGGGTCTTTGCTATACTTGAACAACTCTTCAAATATTTGCAAATAGCTATCATACCCTCCCTTCTCACCTCTCACCAATCTTCTTTCAATGCCGGTTCCTTCAATGATTCATAATGTAGGGAGAATTCCAGAACTAAGTCCTACATGAGTGATGTCTGGAACTTCATACATATTCCTTCATGTCTGAAGTGCCAGCTCGGGCTGTGTCTTGCGAGAATGAATACTGTAACTGGATACATTAAGGATGGCTGCTCAACAAGACCAGAACTCCTGAGCTGCGGGTCACTCCTCAACTCTCAGTTATTAATACCACAAATAAGGCAGGGCAAGAGAGGCCTGAGAGACACAGCCTTGGAGCAAGGCCAATCAGTAAGAGACTATGGGCGATGATCAGAGCAAGACTATCATAATGCCAACGTCAGAAGCACCAGAAGATAAACCTCTGGTTTAGGCATCTTCCCCCTTAAACCTAGCCCTTCTCCAACAGCTCTCTCTCTGCAAGGTCTCAGCCATCCAGTAGGAAAGGTCTTTCCTGTTACTAAGTGCTGGGGCAAACAGGAGATAGACCCTTTCAGACAAAGCATACAGCCACAGAGGGAGCTCTCCATGAAGTGAAACGTTATAACCCTAAAGTAAACAGGCAGTTAATCTAGGCAGGATGCTATATGAAGACAATGAGGAAGGCAAAAAGCCCAAAATAGCAGATTCTTAGAGAAAATGCTACAGACAAAAGACAAAGAAAATGATTTTTTTTTTTTTTTTTGAGATGGAGTCACCCAGGCTGGAGTGCAGTGGTGCGATCTCAGCTGACTGCAACCCCCACCTCCCAGGTTCAAGCGATTCTCCTGCCTCAGCCTCCCCAGTAGCTGGGATTACAGGCATGCACCACCAGGCTTAGCCAATTTTTGTATTTTTAGTAGAGACGAGGCTTCACCATGTTGGCCAGGCTGGTCTCAGACTCCTGACCTCAGGTGATCCACCCACCTTGGCCTCCCAAAGTGCTGGGATTACAGGCGTGAGCCACTGCGCCCAACCCTTTTTTTTTTTTTTTTTTGAGACGGAGTCTCACTCTGTCACCCAGGCTAGAGTGCAGTGGCGCAATCTCAGCTCACTGCAACCTCGCCTCCCAGGTTCAAGCAATTCTCCTGCCTCACCCTCCCAAGAGGATGGGACTACACGCGCCCACTACCACGCCCAGCTAATTTTTGTATTTTTAGTAGAGATGCGGTTTCACCATGTTGGCCAGGCTGGTTTCGAACTCCTGACTTCAGGTGACCTGCCCGCCTAGGCCTCCCAAAGTGCTGGAATTACAGGCGTGCCCAGCCAAAAATGATTTTTTTAAGCTAGCCTTAGAAGAAGAGCAAGTCCAAGACAGATGTTAATTAACTACAAATTGTGTTTCTGTCTTATCCAACAAAATGGACCTCAGGCCAGGCTCGGTGGCTCACGCCTGTAATCCCAGCACTTTGGGAGGCTGAGACAGGCAGATTGCTTGAGACCAGGAGTTCAAGACCAGCCTCAGCAACATGGCAAAACCCTGTCTCTACAAAAAATACAAAAATTAAAAATTAGCACCAGGCATAGTGGCTCATACCTGTAATCCTAGCACTTTGGGAGGCCAAGGCGGGCAGATCACTTGAGGTCAGGAGTTCGAGACCAGCCTGACCAACATGGTAAAACCTCATCTCTACTGAAAATACAAAATTAGCCAGGCGTGGTAGTGGG